CCATGGAGTGCGGAGAGGACTTAGGGACAGTAGCAGGATGAGTGGGCCCGTCCGGGAATGACGCACCTCTGGTGTACCAGTTATCGTGGAAGAGCTTCTCCATCAATGCCTCTTCATTCTGTCGATGAGAAAAACCCGGCCTCAGTTCAGATTGCAGGCTGCAACTCGCCTGCAGGAAGTCGAAATCGCTAGTAATCTCCGGTCAGCCATAGGTGGTGGTTTGATGATACAAGAAGGAAGCTCTGTAAAAGCAACAGGACACCGTGGTTTGTAGCCACGTGCTCTAATCCTCTGAGCTACAAGCCCCACCCCATCTCCACTGGATCTGTTCCCGGGAGTACCCTCAAAAAAAGGAACCATCCCTCTCCCCACCTTTCGGGTTAAGAAGATGTGAAAGCGTGGGTGTGGAGGTTGCATGTGCCTGAAAGGATCCGTTTCTTCCTATGTAACTTAGAAAAAGGAAAATGGAATATACTCAGACTCAGTCCGAAAGTCGGGCTTAACCTAGCCAGAAAGAAGGTTTTGTTCCCTTCCACTTCTCGTTGTGGCAGACTTGTTCTACATTTTGGTAGAAGTTCAACAGCTTTGGTTAGATCTTCCCATATATCAATTGAAGCGCCATCTCAAACTCTCCAACGCAAGCCTGGATCATATACAGACTAAGTCGATAGAAAGATTTCCTTCGTTTTGGACAGCTTTCTAGCGGGTAAAGCTCCCTCTTTCAATGAATAGTTGAAGCCCTAGTGAGTCGCATAGGAGTAGAACCGAAGCGTGAACACTAGATCGAAGGTTGCTTCACAGAGAGATAGAATTGGGCACAGAAAGGTTCAGTTCAAAAAAGGGAAATTTTCGCTTATTCATATATAAAGAGGAAGTCCACTAGGACTTCACTGTGCTTCGCTTCGTTTGTACTAGAACCTTTAACCGCAGAACATGGAGTCAGAAAGACTGGTCGAGCAAGGAGTGGAATTCTAATAGTATACGGAGGAGAAGCAAATACTATCATACAAAGCATCCCGGAAGTGCTTCATTCCATCCAGCCTCTTATTGCCGGGAAGTCAGTATGCTAGCAATACCTCAAGTTAGTCACTCCTTCAATTACACCAAATCTTGACTTCACTTCGCTTCGTTTGTTACTGGGCAGAAGTTCCTTATCTTTCGGTAGAACCTCTTTCGCCATTTGAGGACTCTTCCTTGGTCCTTATGGAAAATCACAAGCCAGCGGTCCTCAACTCCTGCTTTCCACCATTTGACAGTCGCTCAGAACTGAAGGATCTTGCTATGAGACCGATCTTCAAAGAATTACATTATAATTCCCAGAAAAGGTACAAGTAATCCCCCTACCGAACTATGTTGGGGGGGAGTCAAATCCCCGGGGCAAGTTCGAACTGCTTTTTTTTTATGTTTTTCAATCGCCTTTGATGATTGTTTATTGTGAATCCGTTCATCAATTAAATCGAACCTTCATTCGGGCCTAAAGAAAGTAGAGAAATTTAGAAGTAACGTCCAAGCCCGTGGCTCTGTAAGACTTCCACGCAAGCCCTCGGTCACCGAGCCGACCTCGTCCGCTCGTAAGGACACAACCCCGGCCAGCCTTCCGAATTCTACCCCCTGGACCCCGTACACCGTACACCAACTAGAGTTACACACCAACCAGAGTTACGGGCTTTTCTCTTCACAACTAATTCAACAGACGCTCAAGGCTCCTTTTTCTCTTTCTATGACTTAACTTCGTTTCTAAAGATTACATTGACCTCTTTTTGTCAACCCTTGGCCTATTGGGATAGCAGCCTTCGGGGCAAATTTCCTAGAAGCAGGGGACAAGATTTCATGTTATTTTAGGAACAAACTTTTCGAAGCGCAGTGAAGTCAAAAGTATTGGCGATTGTTATGGAATATTTTAGTTCGAATGTAATATAACAAAAATAAATAATTCATAAAACATTAAATATTGGCTAATCTCATTAATTTTTTACAATAAAAAAATGGGTTCGGTACTTCCACACGAGTCGTGTGCTTAACTCACACGACTCGTGTGCTCGACTCACACGACTCGTGTGGCAAAAATCGACCCATTAATTTGTTTCGGCTTTTCCACACGAGCTCGTGTGGAAAAACCGAAACAAATTAATGGATTTGGTTTTTCTACACGAGTCGTGTGCTGGACTCACACGACTCATGTGGACCCACACGGCTCGTGTGCTCGTCTCACATGACTCCTATGTAAAAACTGAACCCATTAATTTGTTTTGGCTTTTCCACACGAGTCGTGTGAGTCCACACGACTCGTGTGCTTTTTACCCACACGGCTCGTGTGGATCAACCACACGACTCGTGTGGCTTCATTCGTCTTGTGTAGAATTTTTATATATTGCTATTTTCACATTGATTATGTCACACATCAGTGTTATGGAATATTATAGTTCAAATGTAGTATAACAAAAATAAATAATGCATAACAACCTCACTAATGCTTTGCAAATAAAGAACAAACAGACATCACATCATTAATTTGGATTGGCGTAATCCAACTTAAGTTTGGCCAACTCTTCTGCGTACTCTGCTGCCATCACAGGATCGACACTTGTGAAATCCCGCAGACAGTTCGATAAATGCGCATACAACGCTCCATCCATTACAAAAGATGAAAAAATAAGAATATATGAAAAATATTTATACAAAAAAAATTATTGTAATCAAATAACATTAACTAAAATTTAGCAAACGGCTTACATAGTCGGTATTGGCACGCGTAGTGACTCGTTCTCGTCTGGCATATTCTCGCCCAAGATAGTATGATGGAAAACCTGACGGTACCACTGCAAGTACTCCTCAGTCGCCTCCCCTCGATCATGTGTGCTGAGGGTCAAAATACTGGTGTTGACGGTCTGCGAGATTAGGAAGTGGTTCCACATACCTACTGCAGACTCCTGAGAATGCTCAATCTTGTAGAGCCTCGACTCCCAAGCATGTACTGCAGTGATTGGCGGGGCCATAGAGGGAAAGACGGTATGGACTAACCCCAACTGGCGCAGAAACAAAATAGGCAAGTACAGCTCGACAATAACGCGGTACCGAATCAATCCACAATAAAGAGTCCTCGACTCTATCCCATCTGGCTGGAGCTATGGCAACCATTGCACCTGTTCACAGTTGCATAAAAGCATTTTAAAAAATAATTATATTTTTTTAAATAATGGGTAAATAAATTTAAA